AGAGCGCCCTGGGGCGGACGGGTGCCGAGGAGAGGGGTGGGGTAGGGGGGACGAGGGGGCAGGGCGATGACTTGGCCGCGCTCGGGGTCAAGAGCGGCCCCGACAGGGCGCCCCACACACACAGCGCCAAAACGCCGCGGGGGCGAATCGAAGCAGCAGCAGCCCCCCTACGTTTGCACGCAGCAGCAGCAGCAGCAGCAGCAGCAACGGCGCATTAGCCTCGAGTGATCTGCACTCTCCACCTGAGCAGAGTGGGGCGCCGTGCCGTGTGTGGCTCTCCCGGCCCTCCCGCTGAGCGCGCCATTAGCGGGGCCGACGACATGCACCGCGTGTGTATCGCGCACCCAACGCCACGACGAGAGCGAACACTCGCACCAGGAGCAGTCGGAAAACCAGGGAAAAGGAACAAAACTCGCATCTGAAACGTTTCGTTTTTTAAAGCTATGAAACAGCTCAAAATCTTATCCAGATGGCACCTATACCTTTATCACGTGCAATAAGACACTTCTGAATTAGACGCGCACAAAACTTAACTGCCGAAATCGGGCCGTACGCCGTACGGGCAGTCCGGTCAGGCAGTATAGACGGTTAACGCCACGATAGGAGACTCACCCCATCTGATGAGTTGAACTGGCTGGGAATGATCGGCGGTGGTCAACAGATGGTCGCAAGGGCGGCAGCATGGTGTAGCTGCGACCCAAAAGATGGTCGCAAGGGCGGCAGCATGTAGCTGCGACCCACGTCCTGAAAACAAACCACAAGAGCAGCGTTAATAACGGGAGCGGCGAAAAATGCTACCTCCCCTTCCTTTCAACACTCTTTCTCATCCTCAATCCGTTTCCGATCGCATGGTAAGAACGCCACGGCCGAAAAAAAAAAAAGAATTCTTGGACCAAGTTTGTACATTGTACACTAAGTCCTTGATTTTTCAGGTGTCCCTTGAATCATGAATGAATGCCTCAGTTCAGTTTTTTTAGGGGAATGCCAGGGTCTACTCAGCAGATCGGGGGTTGGTTATCTCTGTCGCTCTTGTCCCATTAGAATGCCGGTGGTGGTGGTGGTGTGAGAGAGAGAAAGAGAGAGAAAGGAGCATGCCGTTGCAGGTGTATGGGACGCGAGGTGGGTGTGCGATGGACTGGCGACGCCCTTCGTAAACTACATTGTAAAGTGCTCACAGGTCTGCGCTCAGGTGCGGCGCGGCGCGGAGGGCGGGAGGTTGCATGCACGCTGAGGAGAGCGAGGGGGGTTGGGGGTGGAGAGCGTCGTGCTGTCGTGCTCCGCGGAGA